TATATAAATATTTTAATATTGAAATGTTCTTCAATATATTTTAACTCACAAACTTTTACTATCGACTTATGCATAATCTCTCTAGTCGAGCACTCCCTTATGTTTTGCCATTTAAAAATATTCCTTCACTTTATTCTTGCTAACATTCAAAATAGTAGCAAATAATGTGAAATCTGATTCTGAATTTCTGATTTGCTTTCTCGGAAATGGCTTCGGCTTCTTAGTATCAAATGGCGCCTGGCCCGCACCTGTGCATTTCAATATCATTCACACACCTGCCGCCCACACTCCCACCAACGCTGCCCACGCCGTCACCCACGTTCATTCCACACGATTGAGTTTTACCGTTGGCGAAAGCCAATACGCCCGCTACGAATGCAAAGCTTTAGCACCGCCAACAGCCAACTACAGTTGGCCATTTTGTCTGTGGAAGATTTATGTGCAATTGCTGAAGTTTTATGTGCCTCGCAGCATTGCGCTGGCTGTGCTTTAAGAATGACTACATACACACTACACTATGCACGTCCTATTCGCCTGCCTCGGCTCAGTCTGTGTCGACTCCCTTCGGTGTATGGATATGCCATGATTAGTGCAGGCAATGATTTAAGTTTCTACGTGCGCGGTCGATTCTTTTATGACTTTTGCTATGGCAACACGTCGCTGACAGCTTAAGCGGTTTCATGCCAGGGGATGAAACGGAATTTAGCCGAGTTTGTAACGCACTTGGCTCCATGTGCTCCTCAGCTGAATGCTGAGGTTAAAGGGCTTTACTCTTTTTTATTTTTATTAGATTCTGTTGCACTCGTGCTGGATTTTCCACCCACACACTCGCTACAGATTTGCATAAGCATTGCCGCTAGAAAGCAACAGAGTAGCAGCGCTGCTCTTGGTTGCCCATAATCCATGGAGTGTGCTCATTCATATACTATGTACAAGATTTCGAATTATTAAAGGTAAAACCGAAAGCTCTGCATAAGTTGTTGGTTCACTTGCTCGCGTCTGAGACCTTAATTAGCCCTCAGCTAATATTTACTGTGAAACGACTTTTAAAACTTGTGCGCTCAAATCTGACTTGTATTGATTTTTAATTATCTCCAGTTGGCCCCTAGACCGTTATACCGTTTGCGAAAGCCCCAGCAGGAGCCGCCCGGCTTTAATGTCAAATCAATACAACTTTGTGGCTTTGGCTAACCTCAATAATCCTCAATGACAAATGGCCACACATTGACATTGGCAATTGGGCCTGCGGGCAACCTTTGACCTATCGAGCACTTAGTTGAGCCCCCGCTGCCAATCAAGGGCCATCAACTGGGCCAATTAAATGCATGCAAAAACGCATATTAAATCGGGGTCTACTCCCATCCAACACGCATCAACGTCCAATTCAGATTCAATTTATGTAAACTGATTGACAGATGGGCCTGCCATGAATGCAGCTAGTCGCGGTAATTGTCTGCTTAATGTTAACTAATCGAACAGTAGGCGT